GGGGGGGGGGTACAAAGGTGTGAGAACAGAGCGTGAAAAGAATTGCGGGGGCCCCTCTGCGAACTCCTAACACCTGAGTCAAAGTGAAAAGATGCTTTTTGTCTTCAGCTCAGAAAGAGGGTGGAAAGTGAGTCCATGCCTGAGCCCTGGATCGGCCTTCGCTGCCTTTTCTAACATAACATTCATCTCTGGGTAGCAACAGCCCAGGACTGGCCCCAGGATCCCGAAGGAGCTGTGAGAACCTCACTCACAGACAGGACCGATCACATCTCTGCGCCAGGAGATCCCGGGTGCGAGAGACGACCCTGTGATCTAGCCCCAGGCCAGCTCATTATTTTCAGCAATTCTATTAAAGCTCCACGTGTCGCAGAGCCGGTGTGAATGGAGGACCTTCCAGCTTTGTGAGGCTGAATGTCATTAGCCCCATTTCTGCCCGTGTCCCTACACTGTTCAAATCTTTAGTAATCTGGCCCATTCCTGGAATGTAGCAACCGACACTCCATCTTCCCAGGTTCACCTGAAACCCTACCTTCTCCCCTGAGCACACAATGGGCTCAATGCTCCCGTTGTGTTGAAGGCACCCTCCTGGGGTAATTAGGATGGAGCCCCGACTGCAGGGCTTCTGCTGGCTGGGGGTGTGGGGCGCCTGGTCCTGGACCCTCTGCTGTGCTGACGGAGCTGCCCCTTAGGCCCAGCCTTCCTGCCTGCCGGACCCTCGGCTCTGGCTGTGGTTTCATTTCTGCTTCCACTTCTAGGGACGGGGGAGGTTTCACGGAGAAATGAAACAGGCAGGGGACGTGGGGGCCCTTCCTCCTCACTGGGTCGGAGGCTCATATTAAACTAGATGGGAGGCGGAGCCCGGCCCGTCTGGGGACATTTTTAAAGCAAGCAGCTGGGGCCTGCTGACTCAGCAGACGTGGAGCTGGGGAGAGAAGTGAGTTGGGGATGACTCAGCGATTCCGAGCAGGACCCAGGGAGTGGCCGAGCCACCCGACGCAGGGAAACGGGAAAAGGGAAGCGGGCCCGTTGGTAAGGAAGCTGCTGGGCTGGGCTCTCAACGGGCCGAGTTCCCGCCAGAGGCCCAGGGGCACGTTGAATATGTGTCACCGGGGCACAGGTCAGGGGGCAGGATTGCAGATTTCATATATATCATGGATACGGATGTTTTTATTAGGGAAATGTTTCAAATACAGCAGGTGCAGGCGAAACAGTAACGAACGTCCCATACCCATCGCCCGGCTCCGGTGCCGATCAACCTGGTTCCTCCTGGAGCCTCCGTCCACCTTGCTCTATGACAGGTCCCCGACACACCCAGGGGAAGGGGGGCGTCCAAGGTGTGAGGCAGAGAACACGTAGCTTTGGGCGGGTCCTAGAGGAGTTCCAGGCAAACCTTCCCACCTCAATGCTAAAATTCACATTTTAAAAATCAGTTTGTAAACACGTTGTAAGTCGTTCTTTGTAACTGGTAACTAACTACAACAGGTGCTCGCCGGATGGAAGAGAGGACCGGCCGCCGAATTGCCCCTGGTCGGTTTTCACAGGGCGGCCTGGACCCGCTGGGGTCACACTAAGTGGGCCTCGCTGACAACAAAAGAGCCCTATCTGTCCCGAGTCAGCTTACTAGCGGTTGCCAGGAAAGTCACCTCGAATGACCCGTCACCTCCTGGGCCAGACCTGCTCCCTCGAGGAGCCAACGTCGTGTCAACTGTGGTCGGTAGGAAACAGAAAAGGCGACAGGTGTGCCGATGTGAATCCCACCGATGGCACAACCTGAGGGCTACTCAGCCTGCCGAAGAAAACAGTCTAGTTTTATCAGAAAATAGGACAGTCTGGATCCAACTCAGATCCGTTAAAGTGAATTAGCACTGAGAGGGTTTAACTATCCGGCCGTGTTCTTTGTGAAGATGCTATGAAACCACACCAAAAAAAAAAAAAAAAAAAA